TATATGTATGCACACACACACACACATATACATTAACTCATATTCATGTATACTTATAAAAACATACCTGTATATCTTATTCATGTCTGAATTTAATTGTACAGCTATATTTAGTTTTCTCCTTATAGAGCAAAACTTTCTCACTGCTTAATTCTTACCTGTTCATTTTTGGCTACATTAAAGCCTCAAAATATAGTTTATAGGTGTTGCTCTGAATATTTGTTTAGGAAATAATCATGTGTCTCAGAAAACAACAAATAGCTCAATTTTAACTCATTCAGAATTCTGTGATTCAAAATAGTAATAACTTTTTAAAAATCTTCATTATAATGTTGACTTGGTTTTTTAATGCAGAGCTTTTAAGCATTAGAGACTACACCCCAGTATATTGTTTTCTCTTTAGGAGAAACTGAAGATGACCACCAAGATGGTTCTTACAGTGATGTCACTACTGTTAAGGTCAGATCCGGGGATTCTGTTGAATCTGGAGGTAACATTGATTTATATACATATGACTCTTCTTGTAGGAGCTATCTTTTTAGTTCAAATATACAGGTATTCTGTGAAGTTGCTTTTTCTTTAAAAATGTTTTCTATGAGGGCTGGGGATTTGGCTCAGTGGTTCCACTGCCTGCTCGTAAGCACAAGGGCCCCAATTCAATCCCCAGTAACAAAAAAAATTTGGGCTGGTGATTTAGCTCAGTGGTTCCATCACCTGCTTCACAAACTCAAGGACCCAAGTTCAATCCCCAGTACGCACCCCAAATTGCTTTCTAAAAAGTTACATACTTTTAATGTGTATTAAAATTACTAATTCTAAGCTAGCCACAGTGTTGGAAGGCTGAGACCAGAGGTTCACATGTTCAAGGCTAGCTTTGGCAACTTAATAAGACCCTGTCTTGAAACATTAAAAATTTTAAAAGGCTTCAGGCTGTAGCTCAGTGGCAGAGTGTTTTCCTAGCATGTCCAAGGTCCTCGGTTCAACCCCCAGTAATACGTAGACATAAAATACTTACTCCATGTATACATCTGAATAGTAATATAGCATAGTAATAGCTAAATAATAAATCACATTTGGCCTTCTTGGATATTTGTGGGAAATAAGGTATTTTTATAATCAAAAGAAGAGTGTTTGTTGTTTTAATTTTATAGATAAACATCACATAGGCATTGGGACTCTGCATTCTTTCAGGAGTGTTAGTTAGAATTTAGGATATTTTAATATTAATTTTAATCAATATTATTAATAACTGCTTTTCTTTCTAGTATATGTACTGCCAAAGCAAACACTGCTTTTCTTTCTAGAGTGTTCAAATTCATACCAAGTGTTAACAATTTCTTATTGAAAGAGTTAACTGCATAGAGAAAAAACACTATTTTGAGGCTTGAGATGCTGGGTAAATTTATAAAGTGCAAGTAAACAGTATAATTTTAAATTTTAGTCCCACTAAAAAATAATTCTCCACTTTCCCTTACCACTTTATGAGAATTTATATAATCCTTTTTAATTATTTCATCATTTCACTTTAAAAATGAACTAGAAAGGAAAAGAAGAAAAGAATAAATATGACCTAAGATCCAACCCATAACCCATACCTCATTGGTAAAGTACCTGCCTCACATACGTGTAGCTGTGAATTTAATCTCCAGCACCACAAAAGAACAATTTTTTTAAAGTCCATAGCTGTGTTTATGGGCATTTGGTATTCTGTATGTTTCTCACCTTCATGTTTTCCTCCTTTCTTTCTTGATAGAGAAATCCTAAAAGGAGATACGTCATACTCTAGCATAGTGGTTGAGGGCATGGCCTCAGCCTGGGGATGTGGCCCAGTGGTAGAGCACTTGTCAAGTGTATATGAGGCCATGGAGCCAAAATCCCCCAGTTTGAGTCCTCCACTTACTAGATGCATACCGTCAAAGAATTGCTTAACTTGTGTTCCTCAATAATTTAATTCATACATGCAGAATTAAGTACTCGGCAGAGGGCTGGGGAGCTCAGTGATGCTGCACCTTCCTTGCAAGCATAAGGTCCATCCTGAGTTCCATCCCCAGTACCCTAAAAAAAAAAAATAGAAAACTAAAAGAAAAGAAAGTACTTGGCACATAGTAAGCACCCAAATAAAGTACTATATATAAATCTCTAAAAATTAAAGATTAAGCTATTCATATAATCAGTACTTCACTGCCATTGCCACTAGCATTAAGCTGTTTGGAACTATATAAACCCCAGGTCTTTGTTCCCTTTAGAAATCCAGTTCTTTTGCCTTTCTTGAAGCATACATGCAGAGGAAAACTCTTAAATAAAGAACAAGATGTTACCAGGCACAGCAAGGCTGAGGCCAGAAAATGACACGTTGAGGCCAACCAAAGCAATTTAAACCTTGTCTCAAAAATAAAATGAAAAAGGACTGAGAATGTAGCTCAGTGGTAGACCACTTACCTAGAAGAAGAAGGCCCTGGGTTCCATCCCTAGTGTAGCAAAAACAAAAAAGAACAAGGTATTGAGGCATATTAAGAAAAATATTGGTCTTCCAAGTCTATTTTCTGGGCCAGTCATCACTAAGGAAAAAAAAAAAATACTAGAATTTTATGTAATTTTTTTATTTCATCCATTAAAAATGTTTATTTTTGTATTGTAATATTCACAACAAATTAATTTATTATTTTAGCACTTCATTTTTTAAAAATTTCATTAAGTTTATTGGTACATTGTAGGTATACAGTATAGTTATATTCATCATTGGGATCTTATATTTTACATGATGTATTTTGGTTCTTATTTTTTTCTCCATTCTCCTGCCCTCCTTTCACCCCCTCCACCATTCCCTATTTACAAAGACTTTGTTTCCATTTTTTCCTTTTCTCATATTCAGAACTTCATATTTTTAATAGAAAAACATTTCAGGGGTGGATGCTCAAAAATTTTTTAACAAGAATGGTACACTATTTACAATTAGCCAGCCCACTTTTATATGTCAAATGCTTCTGTTTTCAAAACAGCAATCTGGGGGCTGCGGATTTAGCTCAGTGGCACTGGGCCTGCCTCATAATAGCAAGGTCCTGAGTTCAAGACTCAGTACCAAAAAAAAAAAAGTAATCTGACCACTTTGAAACACAGTTATACATTCCACTATTATACGAACAAAATGTCTTAAAAACAATGAACTAAAATATCTCATGCTTTAATACTTATTGTTTACTAAATACCATACTTTCTTGCCCTTTCCAGAAAATATTAAGGCCAAATGTGTATTAAGGATTTTAAGACAATCAATCCATTGTAAACTTTCTAGATTTTCCCTATCTCCAAGGTTTTATCATGTTTATTTCCTGCTGTGTTCTATATCTTCAATTTTTTTCTTTAACTAGTGATTAGGGGAACATACCTAGCTAAATTTTTTGATAAAGCACAACTCTTTGAAAATTTTTTTGATAAATTATGCACCAAGTATTAAAGTCCTTATGATTCATTAATATTTATTCTCTAATAAAATGCACACTAAACAGTTAAATATAGCCGGGCCTGGTGGCAATATGCCAATAATCCTAGCTACTGCAGAATCCAAAATAGGCGGAGGATCACAAGTTCAAGGCCAACCTGGGCAACTTACCATGACCCTATCTCAAAATTAAAAGGGCTAGCCGGGTGTGGTGGCACACTCCTGTAATCCCAGCACTTGGGAGGCTGAGGCTGGAGGATCTCTGTGAGTTTCAGCCTGGGCTACATAGGGAGTTCCAGGTCAGTCTCAACTACATAGCAAGACCCCGTCTCAAAAAACCAAAAAATAAAAATAAAAAAATTAAAAGGGCTGAGGATATAGCTCGTTGCTCCCTGAGTTCAATTCCTAGCATTGTTTTAAAAAAAAAATTAAATATGAATTTTAATGTACTTTTTTTTTTTAGATCAAACCACCAGATCATCTGGTCAACGTCCAGAATCAGTTCAGAGATTACCACAAAGTAAGTAAAGCCATGCTTACAGATGGACCTATGATCATGGTCAAATTTTGTTCTTTTTTTTTTTCCTGATACCAGGGATAGAACTCAGTCTTTGCATTTTGCGAGGCAGACACAGCACCACTGAGCTACATCCCAACCCTGTTTGTTATTTTTAAAGATCTTCTTTTACAAATTAAATGAAAAATACATGTAGCAAGTGATTAAATAAAAACCTCCTCCAGTATCTTTCTACTCCTTAGGCTTCTTGAGTTACTCTTTATACTCAAACCTGATTTTGAAATTTTTTAAATGACAGTAAAAGTCTACTGCTTTCTGTAATTTGTTGAGTGCGCTTGCTTGCAATATAAAAATGTTGATTTGCTTCTAGTTTGATTCATTGATTGATATAGTAGTTTGTTTTTTTGGTACCGGGGATCAAACTCGGGTCCTTGTGCTTGCGAGACAGGCGGTGGAACTACTGAGCTAAATCCCCGGCCCTTGATATAGTAGTTTCAATTTTACTTGGAAATTTTTCATGATAAAATGTTAAGAAAATATGTCACAAAGAATATTATGAAGTAGTATACTAAAATGCTAACAGTGATTTTTCAGGACAATAGACTCGGTGGCATTTTTCTTTTGCTTTATTATTTTCTGTATTGTGCAGATTATCTACAATGGATATGTTTCTTAGAACATATGAAATAATACTTTTTTCTTTTTCATTTGTAAATCAAGTCCCAGAATTTGAGTCACATATTAATCAGCTGAAAATACCCTTGTATATAAAATGTTCAAGAATTTTTTTCCATCTACATAACTTTTTTTAAGTAAAAGACTAAGCAAAAAGCCTTTGGGAATTGTTTGTGATCATTATGTTCTTAGAATTCCATTTTATATGATTTTTAATTTTAGTTTTTAGCAGATTTGGGGACTCTAAATTGAAATATAATAAAAATGAATAAGCTGCTGAAACATTAAAACCTTTTGTGGAAAATCATCCTTTATGTAAATATTTATCCTATTTTTCTCTAAATCTTTGAACTTTGGAAACTCTTAAATCCATCTGCTGCCTATATAAATGATGCTACAGAGTACTTAGACTTTGATGAAAGAATATATAGAAAAGCATATGTCGTTTTAAGTCATACATTCTTGGAATAGTATATGTTTTATAGCTAGTATGAATTGCTTTTGCATTCTGAAAAAGTGAAATTGTGAATAAATTTACCTTGATACTTATATCAACTGGTAGAAATAACTTATTTCTTGAAGGCAAATTTTGAAATTTATCATATTATAATTTATAATGTCATTTTGTAATGATCCCATAGTATCATTTTATAATTATCCTTAAGTATCACTTCAAAATTTGAAAGTAGTATTTTACTTCATAACTATTTTTTGTTGCCCATAAATTTACACATATAATACTTACCATCCTACATGGTATTATATCTGTTATGGATTTAGTCCCATTACTTTCAGATACGTAATCGGGAAAATAATCAATTTCAGTTTTCCCCTTTTATAAAATATAGATAATAGCATCTACATATAAGATATAAGAATTAAGTAAAATTATACATAATGCCTGGTAAATATTGAATATATTTAGCTTTTATTTTCTTCCTAGTGCTGAGAATCAAACCCAGGTCCTCACATGCTAGGCAAGCACTCTACTACTGAACTAAATCCCCAGCCCATAAGTCATTGTTTTGATGGTTATGATTTTAAAACTGACTTTATGTTATTGTCCAATCTCAACATTTTGAAGTTTTAAAAGGGAAAATATATTTATTATATAATTTTTTCTTCTATATTTTTTATTCTGGTCAGAGAAAGGTTTGATTTGTTTATAGTACTCATAGGAAACAAGCAAAATATCTATGCAACATCTTTTTTTTGTTTTAATTTACAAGTATTCTGTGACCCTATTCCTGTTTTCTGTTTGAGGTCAAGACTCCGTAGCTCATAATAAGCAATCTTCAGTGCTGAGTAAGTGGTCAATAATCCTTCTTTTTCAGGCACTTATATTTAACCTTGCTTTATTCTTCCAAAAAAATTTAATAAGATTTTAAATTATTTTTCTCTCTTCACTTTTTAATCTACTAATCATTGACACTATACATGATAATTACACCGTGATGTAGAAATGTATTCAGGGCTATTTTACCATAAGTAATTTTCTTGCAAGAGTAAATGGTTAACTTGTCAATTAAATAACATCAAAACCTAGTGATGTGTTTTCTTAACTCATTCATTCGCATAGACCAAAGGACTTTACATAGTTTTGTCTGTAAGGCCATAATGCAGTGATGGCAAGCCTTTTAGAGCTTTCAGTAATACAAACAGCCCACTGTAGCACGTGTACCATAGTTTTGCCACCACTGTCGTATTTTGATGCCTATTTTGCTATAAGAAGTAGTTCATCTTCACTGATATGATTGAAGTTCTTTTACTTCACAAGCTGTTACCTTCACTGTTTTCCTTTCCTACTTTATTTTTTTCCTTTCTGATAGATTTGTTACACAACACTGGACTATGATACAGGCTTTCAAAGTATGTGAAATGATATTTTGATATATGAATTTGTTTCAGGCTCAGGATATCAAAAAACCCATCAGGAATGGTCTGAAAAAAATATAAGAATGAGAACTAGGATGCAAAGTAAGTAAACTTAATTGCTGTGTTTTTCTTCATTAACTAATGTACAAAAAATATTCAGTTTTTCAGATAAGCATTTGAGTTGTTTGTAATTTCATTAATAAATTGCAACTATGATTACTAGTTCTATAATTTCCATTTGCTTGGACTAGGATCAGATTAACTGTGTATAGAGCATGGATAGTGGTGTAAGAAAACTAGTGGATGTATATAGATCTGGGCTTGACAAGCTGTCCAATTCTAAAAGCAAGCATAAGCATATATGGTAATAAAACTACTCTTTTGACAATCCCTGGATTTTAGTTAGCAGACTTTTAAACACTTAAAGCAGCTCTACATGCCATTGTTTTATGTAATAAGAGCCAGTATGCACAAATTGTGTTTTCGTGTTCATGTTTAGGATGGATTAAGTGTCACAGAATTTAATACCGATAAACTGATTAAATTTACTTTGAATTCATTGCCTGTCGTAATTTCTGTAGAAATGTGTCCACATTAAACTTTCACTGTATTAAATGCATGTGCATGTACAGACACATTCTCTGCTTTAAGTAACGTTTGTTCTTTATCCCCTTTTTACTCATCTAACTACAGTAGATCTCAAGGTCCTCATGTGTCCTTTTACTTTTATTTAGATGTTATAAAAGTTTCTGTCATTTGTCTCTTGTTTATGGAATAACTTCTCTAGCTTTGATTTTCCATGAGACAGCAGTAATGATCACAATTCATTTTTTCTTCTCAGTGAGATTTGATTCCACGTAGTAAGTTCTTCAGCTATCCAAAACTGAAATGACCTTTTTCTCTTGCCTTACTGTTGGCTGTAATTTTTTATTGTTGTATATGCTTACTGTGAAGACCATGTCCTCATAATTTGCTATTTCTGACCTGTTACAGTTAGGCAACCTAATCACTAATTATTCTATTAGAACGGGCTGGGGATTTAGCTCAGTGGTTCTGGCACCTGCCTTGCAAGAGCAAGGACCTGAGTTTGATCCCCAATAACAAAAAAAAAAAAATTAGGCTTATGACAAGAATCAAAAATGAAAATTACTGATAGAGAAAATACATGAGTTTCATTCTCTTTACCGTGAGAAAGTCAGAGGTTTGCTTTGTTATTTTTTAGTTCTTGAGTGTATGCTCTGGATTATTAATTAATAGCAGGTAAGTGACTTCCATATAAGTAAAATTGAAATACATTGTTACCACAAATTTTTAAATTTTTGTTTTATGAAAAAATAAAACAAATTTTCATAACCAAATAAGAGAATAACAATAGTTACTATGCTGTGTGTATCATTATCTTCAAAGTAGTTACTCAGTACAAGATATAAACCAAAATGATTCTTACAAAAAAAGATAATACAAACTTTCTTTTCAATGAACTAAGATAAACTATTAGTATAAATGAAACAAATTAGCATATATATTAAAATATTTTTAAAACAATAGGATATGTAACTTGGAGACGTATTTGAATTTCCCCTTCTGTTTTGTTCCTTTTGTGTGTATATATATATATTGATATTTGAGCTTGTGCAACTGATTTATTCCACTTAACATTATGTTCTCAAGTTGCCTCCATTTACCTACAGATGCCTCAAGTTTATCTCTATGATGGGATAGTATTCCATTGTGTATAAACAGGACATTTTCCTTATCTTTTCATCTGTTGATAGACATATACACTGTTTCCATGATCTGGCTATTATAAATTTTGCTGCTATAAACATAAGTATTCATGTATCCCTGTAATAAGATGATTTTTAACCAGAAAATGTTTCTGTAACTTATTTCCTCTAAGACACTGTGCATCAGAAAGGAAAATAATTGAATATCTGATTGAAATTCAGAAATAGTCCTTTTTAATTAGTAAATTGATAGCTAATTTTTGGATTCTTATCTTTTTACATTTCTAACTTTGTCTTTAGTTATTTTACGGTTTAAATGCTTGTAACTACTATGTCTTAAGTACTATATTAGGTTTGAGAGTTATGTAGAAGCAACGTAAAGAAATATACATGTAACAGAAATTATAGGCTTTTAACCACGATAAAAACTTTAAGGGGCCAGGGATTTAGCTCAGTAATTCTGCCACATGTCTTGCAAGTGCAAGGTCCAAAGTTCAATTGCTGGTACCAAAAAAGACAAAACTTTAGAACATTGAAAAGGAAGAAAATATTTTCAATGGAAGTGGAAGAATGCAGTGATTTTCTTATGGATTTCTCTTCCAAAGCAAGGTTTAAAATTTTTTTTTTATAATTCCTAATTTCATATCTCATTCTCTTTACTTGATTTGGTTTGGGTTTGTTTTTTTTTTTTTTTTTAATTTTGTTTTTTGGTACTAGAGATTGAATTTGGGACCTTGTGCTTGCAAGGCAGGCGATGGAAACACTGTGCTAAATCCCCAGCCCTGGTTTTGGTTTTTTGAGACAGGATCTCACTATGTAGTTCAGGCTGTCCTTGGACTGACTGGCCTGGAACTGGCAGCAGTCCTCCAATCTCAGTCTCCCAAGTGCTGGGATTACAGGCATATGCCACCACACCCAGCAACATTATTCTCTTAAGTACACATTTCTGCATTTTTAAATTTGGGTGTTCAAGGTGCTGGGGATTTAGCTCAGTGGTGCCAGCTCCTGCCTGGTAAGCACAAGGTCCTGAGTTCAGTACCAGGTGCTGGGGGAACACAAAGTCCTGAGTTTGATCCTTGGTGCCGAGGTGGGGGATTTGAGGGGGTGTTTAAGAACCTTTGGATTCTTATTACCACTCCATCATCACACCAGTTCCCTAGGTAAAACAGTCCCAGTTCAGGTTTCTGCCTATATCCTAGGCTTTTGGGAAATGCAGAACCACTGTCTTTACTTTGTCCCATTTGCCAGATGATAAAACAGTAAGTACAGGGAAGTATGTGGCTATAGAGAGATGAGATCATTAATACATGCTTTGGAACCTGTTCTAAAGTTGGTGTGGAGTAAAGAAGATGAGCTTGGAGGTAAAGCACCTGGGTTGCAGACTTCTCTCACTTGCTAATTGAAAGAGCTTGGTAAAGTCACTTAATCTTTGTGAACCCTGATTTTCTTACCTTAGGGACAATAATGTTTGTAACTCTGTTATTATAATGAGCTTATATGTGTAAACCCTTTTTAAAAGTCTGAATATAATATATACCTGTAAATGATTATTTGTTAACAACATATTGTGTAAAATTCAATAACTTTAGAAAATTCATGCCTTCTACTCTTGACTTCAGTGGAGTGATGATTGCTGCATTCTTTAGACTAGAAAAGTTTCTGCTTTATCTTTTAAAATTTTTTTCAGAAGTTTTGTTACTGTCTAATGAAATTAATAAGAGAGCTAGCTTTTACCTTTTAGATCAGCAGTGTGTATATACCATGCAAAGTTTGCATTTGTGTTCTAAGAATTATATAACTGTTATGTATAGTTCATAATTAATAATGATTCATCATTAACATAGACACTTCACAGCATTTTCATACGTAGTATCTCATTTGATCTTTGCAAACATATAGTAAGGTATTCAGAATGAACATCTGATGGGTTTGGGGTTTGTTGATTGGTGTTTTGTTTTGGTAATGCAGTTAATAACTTTAATGCCCTTAGAAACCTCTAAAATATAAGGTTTCCTAAGCTAAACTAGTAATTTTAAAACAATATGCCTCTTAGATTTAGGATTGATGTCATTTTGTTTTGGGTTTTCTTGTCATATAGTAAAAAATGAGAGTATTTCTGAGTCTTAGCAATGCTAACTTTATTCCTTTCTTACTCCAGTGTTTCTCATATGAATACTGTTATTAAACACCAGGAAGATCAGTTATATACAGAAAATTTTTAAAACTCCAGGCAGGTGATAGATGGCAGTAATGGCCAGTGCAGGTTATACCAGTGAGGTAACTCAGCTTTTTTACCCCCTGAACCCTGACCTTTTTGCTTCATTTGCTCTTTCTTATATGTCGAAACCTGCTGCCCTGCTAAGAAAGATGGAGAGGGACAAGGGAAAGGCCGGGGTAGTTCTAAATATTTGCTAAAATAATGATGGAAGTAGAGCTTTGGTGAAGTTAAATATAATAGAATAAAAATATTTTAAAACTCTTGTTTAATCACAGAAGTAAAACAGAATTTTGTCTGTTAAAAGAAGTGTTGGAAAGTCTTTAAATAAATGTTTTTGAAACATGACTAATGTTTGAAATTGTCAGAAGCCCCAGAAGAAATGTTGAGTCAGTTTGAGGTAGAATAGTGAGTATTAATATTGAATCTGATATTGAAACACCTTATCCATTTAGATTAGTAATAAATAGTCCAAATTTTGTCCTTTTTTTCCCCTCTTTACAGCTTCTTCATCAGACAAGGGTTCAATATACGGCCATTTTTCAGATGGTATGTTTCTTTATTATGGTGTGCTTATTTTCTTTGTCCACTTTATCCAGAGTTTTACCAATCCCCTTGAATAATTATGGGTTGAATCCTTCAAGGCTTTTTCTCATATTAAGTATGTACTTTCTACTAGATCACTACACACTCTGAATAACTGTAAAAGAAATATATCTTTTTTTTTTATTATCATTTGTAGCCGGGATTGAACCTTGTGCTTGCGAGACAGGCAGAGGCACCACTGAGCTAAATCCCCAGCCCTAAAAAATATATCTTGTGTCTCAAGGAGCTTTCAGTATAATGGACACCCAAATATTCTTTTTCTTCTGCTTCCGACTAACCTCTGCCATCTTTTCTCTTGGTGGAATTTGTATCTTCTTTTTCTACTGGAAATAAATGCTCAAATTATGAAACATAAGTTGATAGTCTTTTTTAATTGTTTGATTATTAGGTGGCAGCATTCAGATGTCAAAGCTTGGAAACCAGTCTCCATCACTCTCCAGACAATGTAAGTTTTTTCAGTTTTATTAAGTGAATCTCTTAACATTGGTGATCCATAGATGTTTTAAAATGTCTCTTGACAGCAGCAGTATGACTTCTATTTGAATCATATTTTAAGCATTTCAGAGGAGAAACTACTATACTAGCAGTGAAATTCTTTATGAACAAACTATATCAAACCACATCTAGTTTTCCCTTTTACTTTATAATCCATAAGACCAAAAATTAAAATAAAAGGGCTAGGGATTTAGCTCAGTGGTGCTGCCACTTGCCTTGCAAGAGCAAGGTTTTGAAATCAATCCTTGGTCCCCCCCAAAAAAAAAGTAATAAGCAAAGCTACTGAAAAGGTTAATTGAGCAACCAATACTGAATCAAGAAACAGACTGCACACAGCATGGCATAAGGAGATGACTGTAGGTTTTGGAGTCCACACACCAGTATTGGAACTAGATTGGAACTTACCTTGTATATAGGTTTATGGCAAGTTTCTTTTATTCCCTAAGCTTCTTTATTATCCTGAGTACTAATAAAATAAATTAAGAATAATTCTGAAATGTTGGTCTCAATGCCCCTTTTCACTAAAGTTAAGGGCTGCAAAGAACTGCTTTGTTATTATTCAAAACTGATATATAAAAGCATTGAAATTATATATATATGGAATACCGTGTATTGTTTCAATATATATATATATGTATTGTGTAATGTTTAGATCCAATTAAACATTTATCTCAAGTAGATATCATTTCATTATGGTAAAAAAAAATTGAAGATCCTTTCTTCTAACTTTCTGAAATACAAAGCAAAATATGCAGTACAGTATCACTATCTTTTTTTTTTTTTTTTTTTTTTTTTTTTTTTTTTTTTTTTTTTTTTTTTTTTTTTTTTTTTTTTTTTTTTTTCCAGTACCAGGGATCAAGCTCAGGACCTTGTGCTTGGGAGGCAGGCACAGTGCCTCTTCTGAGCTAAATCCGAGGCCCCAGTATCACTATCTTTAGGGACTCTACTGTGTAATAGAATGCTAGAAGTCTTACTCCTACCTTTAACTTAGTACCCATTGTCAACCTTTTCCCACTCTTCTGTTACACCTGCTTTCCCAGCCTCTGTCAACCATCATTTTATTTTCAATTTCCATGAGGTCAACTTCTTCAGATTCCGCATATGAGTGAGATCATGCACTACCTACTCATCTTTATGTGTTTAGCCTATTTCACTTAACGTAGTGATCTCCAGTTCTGTCCACATTGTTGGAAATATTAGAATTTCTTTTTTTATTTTGTTTTGGTTTTTTTGTTGTTGTTTTTTTAAATACAGGATTTCACTATGTAGTTGAGACTGACCTGGAACTCACTGTGTGGCCCCTGCGGGTCTTGAATTCACAGTGATCATCCTGCCTCAGCCTCCTAAGTTCTGGGATTACAGACATGCACCACCACATCTGGCTAGAATTTCATTGTTTTTATGGCTGAATAGTATTCCATTGTGTATATGTTCTGCATTTTTTTATACATTATAGCATTTAGGTTTTTTCTGCTTTTTGACTATTATATGAATAGTGCTACAATGAACATGGGAAAGTAAATGTCTCTTTGTCGTAATGATTCCATTTCCTTTGGATATATATCCAGCTGTGGGATTACTGGATCATCTGGTAGTTCTGTTTAAAATTTTTAGAAGCTTTTTTATTTTATTTTATTTTATTTATTTTTGGTACTGGAAATTGAACTCAGGTCCTTGTGCTTGCAAAGCAGGTGGCAGAACTTCTGAGCTAAATCCCTGGCCCTTCAGAAGCTTTTTTAAAATGAATTATACTTGTCCCTTCATATTTATGTAGAAGCTAGAGAAATTCTTAAGCTATTTACTCATTTATTTTAAAATAAATCAAGTAAAATGTAATATTACTTCGCATTTTTTAAAATCTTTTTAATGCCTGGCTTATTAACATTCACTTGGACTCTCACATCTGCATCTGCACTCATTCTCTTACAATGCATGATTTTGGTTGAAATACCTGTAGATACCCCGCAGATCATACTTTGAGAATTACTGCTCTAAATGTTCTCTAGTACAATTATTAGGCTAAAACATTCAATAAATAATAGATACAAAAATGTTATTGTTACTATCATTAAATGATTAAGCGAAATAGTATATGAGAGCTGGCTGGGAATATAGCACAGTGGCGCACCGCACCTGCCTGGCAAGTTCAAAGTCCTAAGTTCAGTCCCTAGTACAGGGGGAAAAAAATTTTTTTTAAAGGTACATGAGAAAGTGTATATAACTGATAAGCACTATATAAAGAGTGATTGAAAAATACAGTGAATATTTGAGGAAAGCTTCTTAAATTTTTTATAGTAAAAGACACATTATAATCAATCTCTCTCAAAATATCCCCCTCACTTTAAACATACTTAATCCCATTGTTCTTTCCTCTCTCTCTGAAGCAGTTCTGGAAATCTTTTATGAGTGTTATCAGTTTTACTGATGTTCTGAATTGATTCATAAACTTTACCTTTCATTTTCATGTTCATGTTCATGTTCTATTTGGGAAAGAGCCAGAAGTTAAAGGATGTCAGATTAGTTGATAAGGTAGATGAGGATACACTGTAATGTTCTTACGAGCCCGCCTTTCTGTTGGATGGTACTCAGCAGTCACTCAGTTTTTTATCATACTTCGTAAAGACATAAAAAAAGAACTTGGTAAACTGCTTCAAAAGTGCAGAACAATGGGATAAATGTGTTCTAAGCAAGGAAGAATATTTTGAGGGGAATTCAATGGCAATGTGTTTTTTACTGTAATAAAATGTTTTTAATTTAAACATTTATATATTTTGATTACCCCTTGTATATAAACTGTAAGTTGATAGAAAATTACCAATAATAATTAGAATTTGAATTCAAAAGTAAAATTTACCAGTGCTAATTTGGGTGCACAGAAAAATAGATAGGTATCAGTGCAGTTAATCTAAAGGGACAGATAGCTATTACAGTATTGGATAAAATATACTTATACAGCATTGTTTGCTTTATCTTTTTATATGCCTCAGGGCCAGGGATTTAGCTCAGTGGTTGCGTCGCCTGCCTCGCAAGCACAAGGGCCTGAGTTTGATCCCCGGTACCAAAAAAAGGATGTCTTTTTATATACCTCAGAAATATTCTACCTTACTTAGATAATTAGCCGTGTGAACCGAGTTTCTCAATTTAAAAATATTTATAAGGTTTTTTTGTTGTTGTTTTGTTTTTTTCCATTAAGTTTATTGGTACATTTAAAGCAAACAATACAGTTACATTTATCATTGGGATCTTGTACTTTGACATGATATATCCTGGTTCTTGTTTTTTCCCCATATAAAATATTTATAAAGTGTTGTTAATACTTTTTATCTCCCTACTATTAGCAGTGGTAATAATCATTTTGTATTATAATAGTTATTTCTGACCTGTTTATGCCATTTCATGTTTTAAGTTCTACAATTTCCTCAAAGACCTTTTATTGCTTTCACTTTTAAAAGATACTCATATTTATGCATGTAAACTTCAGGCCGATGGTTTGAAATTTGAAAATGTGATAAATTATTTTATTTTACCAAGAAAGAGAATTATCAGCTTTCTTCTTTAAGCCCTTTTTCTTTTACCTACTGTTTATAAAGATTAACACTAATTTTTAAAGTTCATTTGCCATTGAATCTAAGAAAATTATTATTTATATTTGTCATTTCTTTTTTTTTTTGAACAGCAGTAGCTGAACAGCCCCAAAATGAATATTTTTTCAAGAAGAAATGGTTTCTTTGCCTACTTGTTGTGATAAATGTTTTTGTCCTTTGGAATTTTTCATTTTTTCATACTCCTGAGGTAGAAACTACTGCTGTTCAAATGTTCCAGAACCAGATGAAGCAACTTAGAAACAAGTACCAAGGTCAAGATGAGAAGCTGTGGGAAAGAAGCCTAACGTTCCTTCAGAAACATCTTAATAGCTCCAATCCTCGGCCTCAGCCTGCTATCTTGCTGCTCACTGCTGCCCAAGATGCGGAAGAAGCACTTAAGTGTCTGAGTGAACAAATTGCTGATGCCTACTCTTCCTTTCGGAGTGTCCGTGCCATCCGGATTGATGGAACAGGCAAAGCTGCTCAAGACAGTGATGTTGTCAAACTGGAGGTAGATCAGGAATTGAGCAATGGTTTCACAAATGGCCAGAATGCAGCTGTGGTACACCGCCTTGAATCACTGCCTGCTGGCTCTACTTTAATCTTTTATAAATATTGTGATCATGAAAATGCAGCCTTCAAAGATGTAGCCTTAGTCTTGACTGTCCTATTGGAGGAGAAAACCCTTGGAACCAGTCTAGGCCTAAAGGAAATTGAAGAAAAAGTGAGAGATTTCCTCAAAGTTAAGTTCACCAGCTCCAGCACCCCTAGCTCCTATAATCATATGGACCCAGACAAGTTGAATGGGCTTTGGAGCCGTATTTCTCACTTAGTCCTACCTGTACAGCCTGAAAATGCTCTGAAAAGTGGCATCTGCTTGTAAGGGGTGAAAAAAGAAAAATCATGTCTCAGATTCTAAGAAATTACCAGACTTTTTTAAACCAGGATAGAATTCAAAGCACTTTTTGAATGAACTGGTTTCTTTTTAAAGGAAGTTAAGTTCTTATATAAACATGGAACATTAAATCATTTCTTAAACCTAATTACCTGTGATTTGAGAGAATTATTTCTCATTTTGTTGTGTTGAATATTTAGAGGAGTGCAAATTGTGTGCATTCCCGTCAAGGATCTGCTGATTCTGGGCAGAATCAGTGCTATAGCATGAACAGTTTGAAGGCCTAGGTGCCTTTCCTATGAATAAGTCTTGTTTTTTTAACTTAACTTAGGTTTTTTAAGTTTGTTGAGTTAATGAGGCAGCTCTTTAATTATGACTATGGGTTTTCCCGTTATGTTTCCTCTTACATCATTTAGGCCTGAGTTCCTTAGTCATCTGGAACAACGGTAATGAAATATCATCTATGTATGTGTTTAGATTTTTTTCCCTTTATTTTTGGAGAGAGGAGGAAGAGGAAAGGGAAGAGAGGAATAATAAAATGAATAAAGAAGGAAATGTAAGGCTAAAAAAATCTTCAGTATGAAATGTTACAGTGAGCCACTAAGAGGTAGGTTAGTGAAACATCTAAACCCGCATCTTAGTAAATTCTATTGGGAACTTTTTGTATTTATTATTTTTTTCACTCTAAGAAATTCTTGGTTATCCCACGAATTTTTAGTCTATATATTAGAAGGCTTCATATATTTGCTCATTGACTTTTAATGGTAAATTCAGTGCAGTCTACTTTGTGCAAATCTGTTTTTGTTTTGAATTAAGAAATAACAGTTTCAGAAATTGGTAAGCCATTTGTTAACCTATTCTGAGCAGGTTTGATTTAATTTCTGCTTGTCCACTTGTTGCAGTCTGAGTCTTTTAATGGCACTTCGTAACAAATGTAGATTTACTACGCATGTGATAAATTTGAGTGCTTCAAGCCAAAAAAGACAGTGAACTTTATAACATACAAAGAGTGTTAAATGTATAACTGGATTTTTCTCATCTTTCAACTGCTTTGTGTTTTTCAAATATAATTCTAGATCTACTTTGAGGTGTTTTTTTTTTTTTTTTTAATTGTCCATAAGCTATTAAGTGAAAATACTGTTTTTAGAGTACTGGAGCCAGATATCTGCTTTATTTACCCTTTGAGAGCCTCACAGCTTATAGTAAGTGTGGTCTGATTTCTTCCCACCAGAATTACCAGCATTCATAAGTGTATACCCATTTATTATAATTTGTTCCTAACAGTAAACATGATTTGATTTATAGAGGATTATAAAACAAAATTTTGAGTATTATTTTATACATTCATATTATATGGAGAAACAAATGTTTTTGTAAAATGTTTTGGTCAACCAAATTTTAAAGTAATATGTTACTGTCTTTCAGGAAAAATAATTGTAGCTGCTGATATGTAAAAGCTATTTTAGTAATTTAAATAAATTTACTTTCTTGGTTTGTACTCTGTTAGAAACTTAATGACTTATAAACTTTTTTGTTGTTGTTGTTTTTTTTTAATTAATCCCAGTGTTTTCTCACTATGGATTTAGCTCAGTGGTTCCAGCACCTTCCTTGCAAGCTCAAGGACCCAAGTTCAATCCCCAGTACCAAAAAAAGAAAAAAACACACCTTTCAAGGTCATCTGCATCTTACAAATCCCAGTGTTTTCTTCAAACTAGAACTGGAGCCATTCACAAGTACTATACTCATATATTGATTAGAAATGGAGTAGACATTATTTGTTGTTTTATCCAGGGATTTTGAATTATTATGCACCTGAAGTTACTTTAGGTATTCCAGAATTACAAAAGAATCTATTGCAGGGCTTCTTAAGATTTTATCACTTCTCTAACAAGTCTCTTAGATTTTTTTTCCTATTACCCTTCCTTGTGAAATTTTAATACCAGCCAGGTGTGGTGGCACATGCCTGTAATTCCAGCACTCTGGAAGCTGAGGCAGGAGGATCGCTGTGAGTTTGAGACCAGCCTGGGCTACATAAGTAAGTTCCAAGTCAGTCTCAACTACATAGTGAGACCCTGTCTCAAAACCCCCCCACAAAAAAAGAAATCTTAATACCACATAGATACTGTGTATTGGTTTATAGCCTGTATATACATACTATTTTTACAGCCAACACACACACACACACACACACCATGGACGGACCAGTTTTCACCTTCACTGAGAATGCATGCTCAAGAGCATCTATATTTTAGGTAATTGCTGCCTAAAACTCTTATTTTTTTATTGAAGTTATTGTAATCTTTTCAGAAGGGAAAATTTAGTAAGTAATGAGCCTAAAAAAAGGGTCTAGGAGCTCCAGAAATTGAGCACATTGTAACTTTGGGTGACAGCAGTGGCCTAAGAAACAGTACAGTACTGGCTTTAAAATTTCTAGAAATTTAATTTGCTTACTTTTCATCCTTGCACTTGTGAGGCAGGTGGCGGCACCACTGAGCTAAATCCCTGGCCCTCTTTCTGCTTTCTAAATCTCTAATTATCAAAAAAAAATCAAAAGTAAAGTGATTTTATTTGATAAAGAGAGTTATGACTTAGGATTTCTAAATTGCATGCTAATAGCTATATACCAAAGCTAAAGATATGAAATCCAGTTCCCTATGATCTTAGCTGTACAGAAAGAGGCCTTTTTATTGCTTATGTAAGCAAAAAGTTCTCACTTATTGTGTAAAGATAATGCATTGTTATAATTTGTCCTTATCGTGGTCATAGAGTAAAATCTTGAGGTATGAGCCATTAAGACCTTTTCCAAAGCAAGATTTTATCAGCATTAACTACCAAGGATGAAATGAGTCTTGAGCCTGTGAAACCAAAACCAGAAAACTACCACAGACTGGTGGTCCATCCTTGATTGCTTGTCTCTCTGTTGCCTGGATTCAGGGAAATAGAGGTGTGCTTGAGGCTCTTTCCAGATGGTAGAGAGTGTAAACCCCTTGCACTCATGGCATAATGAAGTACTTGAGATTTCCTAAATACATTGTGCTTTTGTCTTCTGCACATTCTTAGAACAAACACTTCCTCTTTTCCTGCCTTTTCAGTCTTGTGCTGAGCTAATTCTTTGTTCTTAAAACCTTGTTTTATTTAGGCAGAACTTTAGTGAAATCGTCCTAATTCTCTACCCACAAATACTGCTTTAGGCACTTTTTTTTTTTTTGTAAGACTTTTATTGATCTTTATGATCGCATAACCAGCAGTGGAAAGTTTTTGGGTTGAGTGACTTAGTGTTAAGAACAATTTATGGGGAAAAAAGGACCCATCTTAGTAGTAAAGGCAGCACTCAATAATGAAGTAATGACCTTTGAGGAGAGGGTACATATGAAGGTAAAAGGCCAGGAATCTCAGGTCTTTCCACAGTGAGATTTGTTTTTGATTGTTGTGGTCCTCATTTCTTTATCGTACTAAGGGTAGAACCCAGGGCTTTCCCACTGAACTACATCCTTAGTGGTTTTTTATTATATTGAATCAGGGTCTCACTAAATTTTCCAGGCAGGACTCAAACTTGCCAAGTGGTGGGATTACAAGCATGGACTAGAGCAATGGTAGCAAACTTGTGGCATGTGTGCCACAGCCAGCTGTTTATTATCATTGAAAGCTCTGAAAGATTTGCCATCAGTGGGCTGGGAACTTGGTTGTTGAGTGTTCATAAAATAACTATCAAATCTTTGATTTGTTAGGGCTGGGGATTTAGCTCAATGGTTCTTCCACCTGTCTTGTAAGCACAAGGTCCCATGTTCGGTCTCTGGTACCAAAAAAAAAAAAAAACCTTGATTTTTTAAAAATATTGTTTAAGGGGGCATTATAATCTAGGTAAGAAATTTCTACTTGTCTGTATATTCACTGTTAGCAGTTTAAAGGAAAGATAGTCAAACATACATGATCAGGAATTGATAGTAAAGAATAAAAACCCTGTCAACCAGGAAAAAAAAAAAAGAACTGGGATATATCTCGGGCGTGGTGGCGCATGCCTGTAATCCCAGCACTTGGGAAGCTGAGGCAGGAGGATCGCTGTGAGTTCGAGACCAGCCTGGGCTACGTGGTGAGTTCCTGGTCAGTCTCAACTACATAGTGAGAACCCTGTCTCAAATAACCATAAAAAAATAAAAATAAGTAAAAGTATATCTCAAGTTCCAAGAAAACATGGGAATTGTGAAAATGGATCTCAGCAACCATTATCTGTCTCTACTACCTCTCCCCATTACTTAGTTCCTTCCCCGTTGTGACTTAAATGCCAACAAAGTGATTTTGATGGCTCAATCTGGCAAATGGAGGATCCCTGAGAAGAATATACGGTTAGTATAGCCACTAGGCCACTTATTTAGCAGGCACTCATGCAGGATGTGAGCTAAGGCAGTTTCCTGAGGTTAGGTCAATGAATAGGCAAATATGGTTAGGCTGACTGCATATCCATGTATATCAAGACCTTTTTTGTATATAACATGCTGCTATATTAATTCACTTTGGCCTTTTTAAAAAATCAGTGAAATGAATGGTTCTATTTCTTTTTAACATCTGGGCCCTGGTAAGGGCTGTACTACAAATGTGCTATGATTTCTTTCCATTACTTCTGTTTTTCCTCTGCTGAGAGGGAGAACAATAGTTCATAGACTATCCTGCCTTTTCATGGACTGAAACCTCCAAAACTGTGAGCCAAAAACCTTTCTTCTTTAAGTATATCAAATGAGTGTTACAGCAAGGGAAAGCTAACGTACAACTAATAATGAAACTCAAGGAGCTAGAAAAGTAAAAACATACCAAATCCAAGGTTAATAGAACAAGATAAAAGACTAAAGCAGAAATAAACTTTTTTAAACCCCAAAAGATCAATGAAACAGTTTGTATTTTTTTGTTTGTTTGTTAGGCACCGGGGATTGAACTCGGGACCTTGTGCTTGCAAAGCTGGTGGCAGAACCACTGAGCTAAATCCCTGGCCCCCTCTATAGCTCTTTTAAACACCAATAAATTGCTGAGAGAAATCAAGAAATCACTTTTATAGTAGCTATGAAAAAAATCCACTTGGAATAAATTTAAGCAAAGAAATAAAATTATTCTTACAATAAAAAAAACAAGGATGGCAGGTAGCTCAAAGGTAAAATGCTTGCCTAGCATGTGCAAGGCCCTGGATTTGATCCCTAGTACCACCAAAAAAAATAATAAAAAATATTGATGAAAGAAATTGAAAAAGACATACCAAAAAATAGAAAGTCTTTCTATATTTATAGTTGGAAGGATTAATATTGTTAAACTGTCCATGCTGTTCAGAGTGTTCTACAAACTCAAAGACTTTTTTTGGGGGGATAACCAGGGATCAAAGTTGGGTCCTTGTGCTTGCAAGGTAGGCGGCAGAACCACTGAGCTAAATCCCTGGCCCCTCAAAGCAATTTCTATCTAAATAATAATATTCTTCACAGAAATAGAAAAATAACTCCTAAATTTTATATAGTACTATGAAAGACCTAGAATAGCCAAAACATAGTGACCAGCTGAGAGGACCAAAAGTCTTGACTTCATCAACTCCATACAGTATAACAAACTGCTTTCACTCCAGAGGTTCCCCATGGGGCTGGCTGAAGATACAGGACCTATACTATTCATATCCTCCATTCTGCTGCTTTTTCTTTTTTTCTGCAGGTGTTGATACCAGAGAAACTCCCTAGGAAACATTCTACACAATAGATTTTATCTCAGAGTCTGCTTCCCACAGAAGCCAACCTGATTCACACTTAAGCTTAGTGCAATCTGTGAATGGAATCTATATTGCACATGTTTACTGAGCACTTAACAGGTGCTATGCACTATTGTAGGCACCATACCTGTAGTATCTCATTTAATCTTTGTAACATTTGAGGTAGGTAGTACTACTATTCTGTTACAGAAAAGGCAACAAAGACACACATAAAACTGTTAGTAACTAGAGGTAGGATTTGGACAGCTGGCCTCCAGAACTGGCAGTTTTATAAATCATTCTGCTTTGTACTTGTACCACATCATAATATCCACTTCTAAACCAGCAGAAGTGATGTTTTATCATATCTTACAAATCATAAACATATGATGGATATAAGTAAGTTGAAGAAACGTAGTACCTGATCCATAGGCTCACTGGATTATTTGATACCTCTCTAATAACAAAGGCTACTATGATTTCTAATACTCTGATTTCTAATTTGAATATAGGGCCAATTCCATATTTAGTTCCTATCATTGCTGATTCTATAAAATCGGCAAAGATTGGAATAGCTGAAAGTGCTGGTAAGTCCATTAATTGTCCATCCCTAAATGTTTCAAACTGTCTTTGAATAGTGTAATATCTGTTGCTTG